AAAATCATACAAGTGATCATTTATCGGTTTATTGCCGTGAAACACAAAACAAGGGCACTATAGAGCAAAAACCCAGTATGGCGCCTAGTCCAGAGTCTTCAAATATCAAAATTTCAAATTTGAAGGGAACTGTTCAGTCCCATATAATGTTTTTCTAAGTAGCTATTTCATAATGTCTTTTTTGTCACATGAAATAATGTCATATGTCACATAGATAATTAGTAAGGAGCTAAAAGATAAAAGATGGCGTACCTTTGTGGTAAAAGTACTCAATTGGTATGTTTTCACAAGCTCCATTACGCCCTCAGGCAAAGAGTTGAACTCACCATCATTTCCAGAAGCCGTGCATAAGATCACAAATAATTGATTTTTTCCTGTCAGCAAAACCTCACAGTCAAATGGGTGCAAACATCCGTAAATTTCGTCTTGGCTAGTGCCAAAATCTATCTCAAGCTTAAGGAGCTAAAGCTGGCACATCTAGCTAGCTTTTTGGTTGAATCGTATGCATACCCATTATTCTTTTTAAATTTTACAACAACAAGCAAATTGATATATTCAAGCCTAACCATTACCAACTAACTAAATGAGAAATCAATTGCTCAAAACACTGAAAAAGTAATGACGAGGATTATGGAGCACATAATTCGGGCAAAGCGGCTAACAACCTCCATCAAGACAAGTCTTCCGTATGCGCTTCACATGGCGGAGACCTTCCAAGGGTGCTATGTGATTTAACTTCCTAATACACAGAGTTGATTCACAATACAAAACAATTAAGAAAAAAGGTCAAAAAAATTTAAACATAAATAGAGGAACATCTTTCCAATGAATAGCTACTAATGAAGTAACAATAGTCCGAAGTGCATCATACCTGACCATGGTGTTGGCTTGCTTAGGATCAATAACAGAAGCAAGAACATCCACTGCACAAATACAACACGTAAATAACAAAGACATTTTCTTAAAAAAAAAAAAACAAAAACTTTGAATAACCATGAACTATACCAGTAGCTTGGAGGTGAGGAACAACAGGAGGTTTCTCTGGGATGTGGATGATTTTCCAGTACTCCATTGAATCTTCAGATGTGAAATCAACAGTACTGTTCATTTAGCTTTCTCAGACAGCAAATTGTGAACTTGCAGGCTCCTAATTTCCTGAAAGAGGCTTCAGGTTCTTGGGCACGGGCTCGTTTTTGTGGGTTTTAAGAGTGATTTGTGAGGTGGGTTCCAAAGGAAAGTTGCCGCCGGTGGCAGAGAGGTGGTCGGCCGGCGGCTGTTTCACTTCACGGAGTTTTATCGAACTACGAGTGTCAGACAATCAGTTGTCGTAGTCAACCATCTCTTTATTGGGCTTATCCATAGCCCAGAAATAGTGGGCCAACTATAATAGGCCCAACTGGCACCGTTGATAGTCCAGTCCAACTATGGATGAAGAAGCAAAAGCGTGGTTTTTTTTCGGCTTTCTTTTTGGTTGTTCTCTGCTCAAGTTCTGATATTTTTGTGTTGAAAATCAGTTCAAAAATCCAATGGGTTCCAGTTGAAATCTGTCGTGCTTTTCCCCTTTTTCAGCTGAATGGTAACGTGAGCATCTCATCTCTGTTGATTATAGATCTGATGTTTTTTTTTTCTATTATTTATCTGTTGAAATCAGTTCAAAAATCCTATCTTTACAAATTTATTGCTTATTTTTTATTTTTCTTTAAATAAAATTACCTAAACAAATTCGCATGTTTTGTAGTATCCACCTCGTGATATTAGCAAAGAATGATAAATTTTTTTTTCAACAAATGAAAATCACACCCCTTGATTCATTTTTTTCTATATTATTGGTAGTTGGTGTAGCTTCTCCATATTCTGCTGCTTTAGTGATAAATTTTCTGCAAGAACGATTTTTTCAAGATTCCTGTAGATTGGGAACTGCTGTCTGAAGTGAAGATTTCTGTGATCTAATCTTACTTCTATCAAAAAAAACTAAGAGGATGTCAAGGGAGAGAGCTAAACGAGTTACACTAGCTCCCGGTCCGCAGGTACAATTTGTATTTCACGTTTTATTTTGATTTCTCTAATGAATTTTCTCATCCTTGTGCTTTTTGTTACTTGACCATCATAGCTATAATGTGCTTGCTTGATTCATTTGCTATTTTTTGTATTTCCGTTTTTATTTTGTGGGTGTCTGCAACTCTGACCTTCTGCAGGTTGTTGAGAAGATTAAAAAAGTTGTAGAAGAAGGCAACTATTATGGCGCCCAACAAATGTACAAGTCTTTTAGCGCAAGGTCTGTATGTGAAAGTCCCATATGTTTAATCCACATGAGAAGGCTATTAGAATGGTGGTCGGCAGGTTTTTAAGGTTGTTTTTTAAGCAATCAATGTTAGGTTGTATGTTTATCTTGTTTCTTTTGATTGTTGCTCAGATATATTTCAGCCGAAAGGTATTCAGAAGCTTTGGATATTCTTGAGTCAGGTGCTTGCATACAATTAGAGAACGGGCAGGTAGGATTCCATATTACGAAACTTCCTTATGAAACAATGAAATCACATTTGACGAGTTTAGTAAAATTAAATGATTTAGTTTACTTATACTGGAAAATTCAAGCTTCGAACTTTGATGCTTTGGGGAGACTGAATGACAAAGTAATTTGTTCATATGTTCAAACTATAGATTAATTATATTATTTTTCAATTTCAGATTACATGTGGGGTAGAGCTTGCTGTCTTGTTTGTCGAAACACTTGTTAAAGGAAAAAATCCTTATGATGACAACACGCTTGGTCAGTCATATTTTTCTTTGGACATTAAGCTAAAGCTACTTCTTTATGTTAACATTGTGCGAAATATGCGAGAAAAGTTACCTCAAGAGTTCATTTCAGATCGTATTAGGAAAATATACGAAAAATTTCCTCGGATACCCACACCTCAGCATTTGGACCTAGGCGATGATGATGATATGCAACGACTTTCTGAAGCTCTCGGGGCTGCAAAAATACGTGCAGAGGGTTGTTCGTCTTTCTTGAAAGCTGCTATCAAGTAAGATATCTCCATTTTTTGTTGCTCACCTTTTTTAAGGGCGTGTTTGTATACAAATATGTCCGTTCAAAGTGAGTTTTTTTATTAATCAGGGTTAATTTGGAAAAATGTTGTATGGTTAGTTGTTAGTGGATTTTTGACTTTATATTAAAATAATATGTAAAATAAAATAATTGAAGTTTATTTGATGAGCCATACGATGAAGCTCTTGGAGAGAGGGTTATCGAGCATCGCCTACAACGAGTGACGAGTGTGACCCAAAACCAATTTGGGTTTATACCTGGAAGGTCGACCATGGAGGCGATTTTCCTAATATGACAGTTGATGGAGAGATATAGGGACCAAAAGAAGGACTTGCACATGGTCTTTATCGACCTTGAGAAGAGTATCGAGGACTGTCATGTGGTGGGCCTTAGAAAAGCACAAAGTCCCATCATAAGTACATTACCCTCATCAAGGATATATACAAGGATGCGATGACGTGTGTCCGAACATGTGGGGGCGATACCAACGACTTCCCAATTAAAATAGGACTACACCAGGGGTCAACATTGAGCACTTATTTATTTGTCTTGGTGATGGATGAGGCCACAAGGGACATACAAGGTGATATCTCTTGGTGTATGCTCTTTGCTGATGACGTGGTGCTAGTTGACGAGAGTAGGGCATGGGTAAATAGGGTAAATAGGAAGTTAGAGCTGTGAAAGGACACGTTAGAGTCGAAACGCTTCAGACTTAGTAGGACGAAGACCGAGTACATGACGTGCACTTTCAGCATGGCTACACATGATGATGGTGACGTTAGCCTTGACGGGCAAGTGGTGGCCAAGAATGAGACTTTCCGGTATTTAGGATCGATGCTACAAAAGGATGGCAGCATTGATGAAGATGTTAGGCATAGAATTGCAGCCAGTTGGTTGAAATGGCGTCAAGCTTCGGGCGTTCTCTGTGATAAGAGGGTGCCACAAAGGCTAAAAGGTAAGTTCTATAGGACGGCGATTTGTCCGGCGATGCTATACGGTGCTGAATGTTGGCCTACAAAAAGGCAACATGTCCAACAACTAAATGTAGCAGAGATGCGTATGTTTTTGGTTTTGCAGGCACACAAAAAGGGATAGAATCCGTAATGAGGATATTCGAGATAGGGTCGGGGTGGCTCCAATTGGGGAGAAATTGGTTCAACATCGGCTGAGGTGGTTCGGAGCCTCCTGATGCACCAGAGCGTAGGGGAGTTCTACAGCGGGTCGATGATGTAAAGAGAGGTAAAGGTCGGCCTAAACTCACTTGGGAAAAGTCGGTTAAGAGAGACTTTAAAGATTGGAATATTTCCAAGGATTTAGCGGTGGATAGGAGCGCTTGGAGGCTAGCAATCAACGTGCCAGAACCGTGACTTTTGCTCCTCTCTCTTTTGCTCTAATATCTTCCTTGTGTTTTGAGCCCTTTTTGTGTTTTTCTTACCATTGATTCTCTTGGGTTTCATCTCTAGCCTACCCCAACTTGCTTGGGACTAAAAGACTATGTTGTTGTTAAAGTTTATTTGATGAAAAAGTAGGCGAGAGATGATTTGAAGTGATGATTAGTTAAAATTATGTGAGTGAATGAATAGTGAATTAAAGTTGATGTGATGTGTAAGAATAATTGATTAATATTATTTAATTATATTAATAATATTGGGGATAGTGGAGTTGAGTTAAATTTTGAGTATGAATTGAAATTATTTGAATACAAACACACCCTAAGTGTTTCTAGATATTCGTGCAATGCTTAGAAAGGTTGAGGGCAGCATATATTCACACTTTTAAAGTTTTTCCATTTTTCTTAATACGTGTGAATGATCAATGTTCGATTTTTTGTGACACTAATGAATTTTTTCGGTTCTCTTACGAATAGGTGGTCTGCAGAGCTCGGAACACATAAGTATGGGTCTCCTGAAATCCACGACATGCTTGCGGATTACATATATTCAGAATCTCCCGAATTGGTAATGTATTGTATCAACTTTTATTCTATAAGAGGAAAAAGTTACTGTGTTCTTGTAGTTTAGCAATTTGGAGGAAGCCCGCTAGCCATATAATAGAGGTTACATCCTAAAACTAATATGTGATATGAGAGAAGTAGCCCACTAGGCTTATAGAGTGATTTCTTTCACCCTAACTAAACCATACGGGACAGCTCACAAGTGACGTATTTTAGATTCCTAATAAACACTCCATTATATGATGTTATTTTCCATGAAGGTAAGAAAGCTCACATTTCATGTCAAACACTATTAGGTCCGATGTTAACTCAAGATATGGATCTTAGGAATTCTTCAAGTGGATATCTGTCAAATTCCTTTTTTTTTTAAGAGAGAGAAGGTATTATTAGATTTGATTCAGGTTTTACATGGATGATCACGGATTTGAATATATTGGAGTCATTACTCCTGAAGTCCTTATTTCTGGTATTAAAACTGTGAATATTTCTTGTATTATCTAAGGGATGTAAGCTAAAACCCTTTCTAAGGACAAGCCAAGTTACTAAAATCAATATAAAAATTGCCATAAAGGATTACCTTGTTCGAGGGACAACAACTATGTCCTTCATTTGATAAATATATGGCTCCTTGTTTAAAACTGCCCTTGAAAATGTGATTTCTATAGCGCAATTTATGTAGGTACATTATATGCTTCACCATTGATATCAAAATTATTAGTTTTTTCTGAATCTCATATTATCTGTTGTAACAGGATATGGCCAAAGTGTCCTATCATTTTGTTCGAGGGAAGAATCCAAAGAATTTTGCTTCAACTCTCGTCAATTTCATGGGAAAGGTCCGTTTATTTCTTAACTTAAACAACTAGCTCCAAAAGCCTCTCGGGGGTTGTAATTTTTAGAAATACAGCTCTCACACGTGTTTTTGTAATTTTGAAAGGGTAAGAAGCCTTTTGGTAATAAAATTAAATCTAAAAAGTTATTTCGGTGTGTGTGCCCGTCTGTAATTAACCCAATATAAATCCATCTCTTGGTAATTGAAACTTGTGGATTTCATGAATTTTATCTTATTTCTCTTTTTCCATATTATAACAGAGTTCCGTAAATTAGACATAAATTATCTGAGAAGATGCATTCATATAATATTTATCTTTTACATGTATCTAATACTGATCAACTTGACAAATTTTAATATGTAGTGTTACCCAGGTGAAGACGATCTTGCCGTTGCACGAGCTGTTTTGATGNTTGCTTTTCTGCAGTCTCTTTACTCTTAAATCTTAATTGGTAAATCGGCTTCTATTTTTGAGATTTCTGTTTCTACGTTAGATAACTTGAAACATTCAAAAGTTTAAATTCCATTAAGGTTCCGTTTTATGGTCTTTTTTACTTCAATTAAACGCCTTTTTTTTTTTTTTCCTTCTTATGTAGGTATTTAGCTCTAGGTAATTTGAGAGATGCTAATGTCCTTGTGGATGAAATGAAGAAGAAGGTTCAATTTCAAGATGTTAACTTTCCTCAATCAGAATTAATGGAGTTCATCGGTTATCTTCTGAAAACGTAAGTTTTGCTTCATATGTTTTTCCCATTGTCTTGTGACCTGGCTGACTCGGCAGGTAAAATATTTTATATTTCAAGAATAAAAATTATGTCTCTATCTGTGCCGGTTAAAGTTTATGATGAGACTAATATTGAGCCTTATGAGGTATATAAATTCCAATACAGGTTAAATATTTGTTTTTGTTCTTTTTAACATTTAAATTTTTAGAATTGATTCTTAGAATTGATTCAGTGACCTGAAGGGCAGTCGGGGTTTGAAAACATCGGTTTCCTTATTTCATGAATAGAAATGATGTCCTTTTTCTTTTTTTGGTAAAACCTGCATGTATTTTTTTTCTATGCAGATTGCAAAGAGATGCTTTGCCTCTTTTCAATATGTTGAGACAGCGTTATGAGTCGAGTATAAACCGAGAGCCCATTTTCAATGAAGTATGCAGTTTCAAACTCTACTTACTTTTGTTAACTTTCTTTAAGTTTTCGCTTTGCAAAATATGCTAGTTATATAATTTCACGTCCCTTTTTGTTGTCGTCGTGGATTAGTTGCTTGATCAAGTGGCCGAGAGGTTTTATGGGGTACAACGTAAAAATGCCATGCCAGGAATGTTTGGAGAGTTATTTAAGGTAATTAACTCATGTTTATGTTTTCTTCTTATTATGCCCTACTTTTTCATTCTTTTTTTGTGGAATAACATTGCTTATTGAAAACTAATAGCTGAAAGTTAATAGACATGGATTGCAATTTTATTTTCTGGCTTATGAGTTTTATTTTTGAATTTCAATTTACAGATGATGGCCGGAGATTAAGCACTGCAAACTTGCACGAGAATAAATTTGTCGGTCGGAGGTTTTACCGTAACTGTTGAAGCTGAACATCAATTTAAGAAGCCCTTTCCTTTTTCTTTTTAAAACTTTAACCGTTGAATTACTGTCTTTTCAGTTTTCAGACTTCACTTGTGGGGTTGGGGTCCTTTTTTTACTGGTACTATTAACAATTGTTTGGTTAATCCAGTAGTTTTATTTATTATGCTATAGATAAAATGTCGTCTTAAATAAAAATGGAGTCTTGAAAATCCAAGTGAACCTTTACAAATATGGGTTAACATAAATTTGCAGATACTAAGAGCCATTAAGAGCAGCTTTTATCTTCAGAAATAGAAATTAATTAGTAGAACAGCACAAAGTTCTAAGTTCAGTTTAATAAGATTCGAATTATTTAATAAGAGAGCAAACAATCCTTGGGCATTGTGTAACAAGAAAATGGTGAACAATTTCATAAGAATTGGCTAATATAAAATTTCTTATTTCAATTTCAATGAATATGTAGAAAAGATAAAAAATTCTCCTCTCAATCACCACTTGCTTTTCAACTAAAATTATGTGAACCCACGGTCTCTCTCAGTAATTAGGTTAAATTACTATTTTAGTATTGTAATCAGTATATCAGAATAAATTGGTATCTCAAATTACCCATGTTTAATAAATAGTCAATTGAAATCTTTAAAAATAATGAAAAAAATCAATTGAACTTTTATGGTGAATTTAAAATCCTTCTTACTTTTATTGTCATCCAAATAAATGTGCCAATATAGTCGTGAGAACTTGAAATCTATATACCCAAGCCCTTCAATTCAAACAAAAGTCTTGTACAGAATCTCAACACTAACAGTCTCATTATTTCAGATTAATTAGTTCCCATATCATAGCAAGAATACCACATACACACATTCACACAGTTCCACAAAACCAAAACACCTATAAAAACTAGAGCCTGTTAAGGAATTTCCTCGAGGCATTGCACAAAACACAACTATGGAAAAAGCATGAAGAAAGATGGAAA